GGGTCCGGGCTGGATTCGAACCCGCCACCTTAGGTGTACGTGGCTGGTGCCTTAGCCGGTTGAGCTATAGGCGCCGAGCCTAAATATTTACTTTCATACTTTAGAATAGTATGCATTTGTTTGAGGCAATGCCCTAAATCCAGAAAATGATTTACAATAGGTTTTCCACTAAAAATGCAAGTGCCAAAACAATGTGGATAGTATGTTCCTATGAATTTATTTATTTGAACCACTTTATTGAGGCATGATCACATGTAAAAATCTGTAAATATTTAATGTATGTATCTCCACGATTTGGGGGATATAGAGCTGTAAAACCATCACATCAGCAAGGCCATGAAGATAGCCATCGTATCCCCAATTTTCTTCCCATTCATTCCTAATTTTTTCTATGTGTCTGCAGTAAGAATATAGTAAAATTTCCACCCTCTTAGCAAATTTTAAGTATATGATATAGAATTGTTGGCTATAGGCACTATAGTGGATCTCCAGAATTTACTTAACTTGCATTTCCAGGCACCCCAAGGACACACAGCAGAAAGAACCAGGCAAAATGCGCTCTGAGCCTTTCTCTTACCTGGGCGCACAGTTGGAGGCGCAGGACCTTCTCTGGAGAGACAGCAGCTGAAGCCAGAGGTGCTGCATGGGCTGTGCGGGAATGTGGCGTCTGCACTGATGCTTTCAGGCTCTAATCAGACTCTTGAGGGTTCTTTCTGGTGCTCTTTCCTCTTGCTGCAAGAGACCCCAGTGGAAAACTGGGAAAGTCCAACAGTGAGGTGAGCACAGTGACCTATGAGGCATCTGCTTCCAACCTGTGTGTACCAGGGCGAATAGTCCACAGGCTCAACAGCAACATGTAGTGAGCCTTTAACAAATCCTCTTTTGTTCTTCCTATTTCTGGTCCTTCTCTGTTTGCGAGGCTGCTCTCTGCCTCTCTCTATCCCACACGCCAAATTGCCAATCTTTTTTCATTTATTCTCCCCAACTTTTCCTCCATTCTTTCTCGTGCGCCCAACGGCATGGCCCAGAAAACGTTGGACAGGGCACGTGCCTGTTGGAAAAGTCAGCCAGACCAAGCACTGGGAGATTGGGGTCCTCCCAACCCTAACTCTGGGGGCCCCGCACTCTGTGCTCGGATGCCTCCAGCGGTGGCCCGCGGAAGCCAGAGCTGCAAGACAGCCGGGAACCGAGACTGAGGGGGGAACAGACCATGAGGTCAGCGCGGGTCTTACTCTTCCCAGGCTGCTCTCTCCCCGCGCTGGTTCTGGTGGTGTTCGTTGTTGACTCTCTTGGTGAAGACATGATTTTTCACCCCGAGGATATAATTTTTCACCCGGAATGGGGGTTTGACTCCTACGAAGTCACCATCCCCTTGAAGCTCACCTTCCGGAGAGAGGGGCAGGATGTGACCGGTCCTGTGTCATATCTCCTGCAGTTAAATGGCAAGAAGCATGTCCTCAACTTGTGGCCCAAGAGGTTTCTGTTGCCCCGGCACCTGAGCGTTTTCTCCTTCACAGAAGAAGGGAAACTGCTGGAGGATCACCCTCATATACTCAGGGACTGCAGCTACACGGGCTCTGTGGAGGGCTTTCTGGACTCCGAAGCTACTCTAAGCACGTGCATGGGTGGTCTCCGAGGTGTGTTATACCTTGAGGCCAAACATTACCAAATTGAGCCCCTGAAGTCCTCTTCCAGTTTTGAGCACGTGGTCTATCTCCTGAAGAAAGAACAGTTTAGTGATCATATATGTGGCTTAACTACCGGGAAAGTGGAAGGGCGGTTGGACAATGTGCATTCCATGACTCATCTAAGGGACTATGCTGGGACCTATGTACACCCCAAATATTTAGAATTGGTCCTGCTCTTTGATAAAAGTAGATATATGTTTGTGAATGGCAATCTTTCTCAAGTCATAAATGATGCCATTCTTTTGGCAGCGATTATGGACACTTACTTTCAAGATGTCCATATGAGGATACATCTAAAAGCTCTCGAAGTGTGGACAGATTTTAACAGAATATATCTTGTATATTCGGACTTAGCCGATGTCGTAAACAGACTTGCACTGTATAGAAGAAGTGTGCTAGATGATCGGCTTCCATCTGATTGGGCACATTTGTATGTTCACAAAAAATACAAAGATGCCTATGCAGCGTTCAATGGAACCGTGTGTTCTGAAAATCTGGGGGCGTCAGCAAGTAGTTTACTAGAGGCAAATATCCTTGCCCCTGCCACCTGGTCTTCTCATGAACTGGGCCATGCTGTGGGAATGGCACATGATGAAGAGTACTGCCAATGTAAGGGTAGGCTTAATTGCATCATGGGCAGAGGACGCACTGGGTTTAGTAATTGTAGTTATATCTCTTTTTTTAAATATATACACACAGAAGCAAACTGTCTAAATAATATCCCAGGAATGGGTTATGTGGTTAAGAGATGTGGAAACAAAATTGTGGAAGAAAATGAGGAATGTGACTGTGGTTCCAAAGAAGACTGTGAGGAAAACGATTGTTGCCTTGCAAATTGTACATTGAAACAAGGCGCCAACTGTAGCACTGGACTCTGCTGTCATGAATGTCGCTTTCGTCCCTCTGGATACGTGTGCAGGCAGGAAAAAAATGAATGTGACCTTGCCGAGTACTGTGATGGTAATTCCAGTTATTGCCCGAGGGACTTTTATAAGCAAGATGGAACCCCATGCAAGTATGAGGGTCGTTGTTTCCGTAAGGGGTGCCGATCCAGATATATGCAGTGCCAAAGCATCTTTGGACCTGATGCCAGGGAGGCTCCTCATCAGTGCTATGATGCAGTTAATTTAATAGGTGATCAGTATGGTAACTGTGCCATCACGGGAGTTGGAAGCTACAAAAAGTGCGACAAGGAAAATTCAATGTGTGGCAGGCTACAGTGTATAAATGTCAAAACCATCCCTGATTTGCCAGATCATACTACTATAATCTCTACTCATCTGCAGGCAGAAAATCTCCTGTGCTGGGGCATTGGCTATCATCTAGCCATGAGACCCTTAGGAATACCTGACATAGGTGTGATAAATGATGGGACCTCATGTGGTGAGAACCGGGTATGTTACAACAAAAATTGCATCAACAGCTCAGCTTTGAACTTTGACTGCGTGCCTGAGAAGTGCAGTGCCCGAGGTGTTTGCAACAATAGAAAAAACTGCCACTGCATGTATGGCTGGGCCCCTCCGTTCTGTGAGGAGGAGGGGTATGGAGGAAGTATCGACAGTGGACCTCCTGGACCACTAAGAGTAGATGTGCCCACATCAGTCCACGTTGTGTTTATCATGATATTGCGCCTTCTTTTATTAGTCATCTCAGTGATTTTTGTGTATTTCCGTCAAGTGATAGGAGAGACTTTAATGCCCAAACAACAAGAAATATCACCAGATCAACGACCCAACATAAAAACTCAACGTAAAGAGTCTGAAAAATCTGTAGGGCCTAAAGCAACCCCTGAAGGGTCTAAAGTGACCCCTGAAGGGCCTATAGTGACCCCTGAAGGCAAAGCACCCAAAGCAAAGAGTGTCAAGAGAAAGTAATAAGGCAATCCACCGCCATTCTGTGACACAGGCTCATTTATTTCACAAGCTAATCGTTATCCACAGATGCTCCATTCTTTCCTCCATACCTTTTTACTCAAACTTTTCCACAACGTCTGATCAGCAAATAAATGATATTTGTTTGGAAACATATCAATGTATTTTATTTCCCTAGTATGTATGTGCCCCTCAGTTTGTGGGTTTTGGGTATCTCAAAAAGTATGCCCTACATGGCTTTTCTTTTTTTTTTTTTAATTTATTAGATCATAATTGTGTACATTAATTCTATCATAGGATACAGTGTGTTGCTATCATATACAGTTTGGAAAACTCTCCTCCAACTGGCTAACATAGCCATCATGTTTTTTTCATAATTGTTGTGTTCGACCTTCAGATAAATTCATATGTACCCTAATAGGATAAATCATAGGCGTGATCCCCACAATATCATTCTCTTCACCCATCCTTCCCCGTCCCCTCCCCCCCTTTCCCCGTAGTCTTGGACTCCATTTGGATTATAGCTTTCCTAAGATAGCTAACAATTAGTTTCATAATAGCATTGAGTACATTGGATACTTTTTCTTCCATTCTTGAGATACTTTGCAAAGGAGGACATTTTCCAGCTCCATCCATGTAAACATGAAGGTGGCAAAGTCTCCATCTTTCTTTGTGGCTATATAGTATTCCATAGTGTACATATACCACAACTTATTGATCCATTCATGGGTCGATGGACACTTGGGCTTCTTCCATAACCTAGCGATTGTGAATTGGGCTGCAAGGAACATTCTGGTACAGATATCTGTATTATAGCGTGATTTTTGGTCTTCTCGATATATACCTAACAGAGGCATTACAGGATCAAATGGTAGATCTATATTTAGATCTCTGAGTGTTCTCCATATGATTTTCCAAAAGGGACATATTAGTTTGCATTCCCACCAGCAGTGTAGGAGTGTTCCCTTTTCTCCACAACCCCACCAGCATCTGTGATTTTGGGATTTTGTGATATGGGCTAATCTAACTGGCATTAGATGATATCTCAGAGTAGTTTTGATTTGCATTTCTCTGATGATTAAGGATGGTGAACATTTTTTCATATGTCTGTAGGCCATGCGTCTGTCTTCTTCAGAGAAGTTTCTCTTTAAGTCTCTTGCCCACCCTGCGATGGGATCACTTGTTCTCTTCTTGCTACTACGCTTGAGTTCTCTGTGGATTCTGGTTATAAGACCTTTGTCGGAAGCATAACCAGCAAATATCTTTTCCCATTCTGAGGGTTGTCTACTTACTTTTCTTACTGCATTCTTGGCTGTGCAGAAGCTTTTTAATTTGAGAAAGTCCCAGTAGTATATTTTTGATGTTGCTTTGATTGCCCGAGGGGTCCTCCTCATAAAATTTTCGCCCAGGCCTATTTCTTCAAGAGTTTTCCCTACACTTTCTTCTAATGTTTTTATAGTTTCATGTCTTAAATTTAAGTCTTTAATCCAGAGAGAATCTATCTTAGTTAGTGGTGACAGGTGTGGGTCCAGTTTCAGTTTTCTGCATGTCGCTAGCCAATTTGTCCAGCACCATTTGTTGAATAGGGAATCTTTTCCCCATTCAATATTTTTAATTGGCTTGTCAAAGATCATATAGCAGTAAGTAGCTGGGTTCAGCTCTTAGATCTCTATTCTGTTCCGTACATCTACCTCTCTGTTTTTGTGCCAGTACCATACTGTTTTGATCACTATCGATTTATACTATAGTCTTATGTCTGGTAGCTTGATCCCACCTGCTTTGTTTTTGTTTCTGAGTATTGTCTTGGCTATTTGAGGTTTTTTCTGATTCCATATAAAATGCAGTATTATTTTTTTGAGATCTTTAAAATATGACAATGGAACTTTAATAGGGATTGCATTGAAATTATATATATCTTTAGGTAATATAGACGTTTTAACAATATTAATTTTTCCCAGCCATGAGCAAGGTATGCTTTTCTATTTGTTAGTATTTTGAGCTATTTCTTTTCTTAGAGTTTCATAGTTCTCTTTATAAAGATCTTTCATGTCCTTTGTTAGGTAAACTCCCAGATATTTCATCTTCTTTGGCACTACTGTGAACGGAATAGTACATGGCTTTTCTGAACACTAAAGCTCTGAAAGTGGTGGATTTCACAGAATAACCATTGTTTGCAAAGCACAGCCTGTCTCTCAGAATCCCAGCAAACAAAATGATTGCCTCTCCTTCTGTTTCCCTCAGTTCAACCTGTGTGAACGTCTATGGCTGTGCCTAGGCCCGGGCAGTAAATGACAAGACGCTTTATGAATAGAATGCACACATCACAGGAAGCATCTCCTCTCCACACATTTCTTGTTGCTGTCACTCTAGGGGTCACTGCAGCTCAGTAGACATGTGGTCTCTGATACAATGTTCGAGGTGACCTCAGATGGGTGAGGAGCACCCCACTGCCCTGACTCCTGCCTTGTACCACAGTCTGCAGATGACGGTGAGCCCTGGTGGTGTCTGGTGTAAGGCTGTAGACAAACTTTCACGTTTGGGATTTCTGCTTGCATGGGCAGGTCTTTTCTGAGTGTATGCTGGGGCTCTGCATTTGCCATGCCCCAAGTGGAGTGCAATGGAGTGAGGAATGTCTTCACTCTCAAGGACCCCATGTCTCTGCCTTCACATCTTCTTTCCCCTTTGCACAGCGCTTTGGGCAGCAAAAGAGGAGGACTGAGGGGCCTCAGGGGGAGTTAGTGTCCACCTCTATGTCCAAGGAGTGTCCTTCCCTCCCGGACCTGTCCCAACCCAAGGTTTTTGGTCTTTTTCTAGGCTGGGTCCTCTTGCTGTCACCTCATCTTTCCCCAGGACTTCTTTCCCTCCACAAGCAACGCTGAAAGCCCACTGTGCCCCCTGCTGAATCTCCTGTTTCTCAGCCCCACAGTTCTTTTAATTTTTTTTTTTTGAGACAGAGCCTCAAGCTGTCCCCCTGGGTAGAGTGCCGTGGCATTACAGCTCACAGCAACCTCCAACTCCTGGGCTCAAGCGAGTCTCTTGCCTCCGCCTCCCAAGTAGCTGGGACCACAGGCGCCTGCCACAACGCCCGGCTATTTTTTGGTTGCAGCTGTCATTGTTGTTTGGCGGGTCCGGGCTGGGGATTCGAACCCGCCACCTTAGGTGTACGTGGCTGACGCCTTAGCCGGTTGAGCTATAGGCGCCGCGCCACAGTTCTTTTAATTAAAGACAGAGCTGGAGCAGCCTCACAGCTTATCTCCCAAGCTGTTCTGGGAAAATTTTTACTCAAAATAGAATGTCCATTTTTTTTTTTTTTCTGAGACAGTAAAAGAGTCTCACTCTGTCACCTGGGCACAGTGCCTTGGCATCTTAGCTCATAGCAACTTCAAGCTCTTGGGCTCAAGTGATCCTCCTGCTTCAGCCTCCCGAGTAGCTGGGACTACATGAACCTGCCACAATGTCTGGCTATTTTTAGTAGAGATGGGGTCTCCCTTTTGGTCAGGCTTGTCTTGAACTCCTGAATTCAAGCAAGCCACCTGCTTTGGCCTCCCAGAGTACAGATATAAGCCACCATACCTAGCTAGATTTTCCAGATTTTGTGATGATTATAACTCCAAACACTTACCAAATGTGGCCATCACCTGACAGTGTTCTAAAATGATCCAGAACAAGTCATAACTGCAACATTAATAACAACAGCTAACCTTTCCTGAGCGTTCATTCATTATGTAACAGGCCGTGTTCTAAGAGCCTCATGGGTATGTTAATGTGCATTCTGCTGAAAATAACCCTATAAGATTGAAGTTAGTATTTTCTTGTTTTACAAAAGAGAAATGGAGCCACATCAAGGTGGAATAACCTGCCTAAGGTCACACAGATAATAAGTAATAACATTATTCAAGGAAACTTTATATAAAAGTTAGGAAATTGAATTTAGGGAAGATGGTTAATTTTAAAAGTATAAGGATATCATACATCAGGAATCATTTTATAAATTTTGGTTGTGGTGAAATTAACATAATATAATTTACTATCAAAATCATTTTTATGTGTACAGCTCAATACTGTTAAGTATATTCACACTACTGTGCAAATAGTCTCCAAAATGATTTTCATCTTGCAAAACTGAAGCTCTGTACTCATTAAACAATTACCTATTCTTCCCTCCCTTCTTCCTGGAAACCAACATTCTATTTTCTGTCTCCCTGAACTTGGTTATTCTAGGTACCTCATGTAAGTAGAGTCATACGGTATTCATCCCTTGGTAAATGACTTATTTTACCTAGAACCATGTCTTTAGGGTTTACCTATGTGTGCTGTGTGTTGGAATATCTTTCTTTTGTAAGGCTGCATCATATTTCAGTGTGCCTCTATACCATATTGTGTCTAACCGTTCATTTGCAGATGGACTCTAGAGTTATTTCCACATACCTTTTGACTTTTGTGAGCAATAACCCAAAATGAGTAACTGAGACAAGGATTTCAATCAGTCTAAGTTTATTAAGCCAGCTTTAGGGCGTGTCCAGGAAAAATGTAAGCTATAGATTCATTTGTGTTTCCAAAGAGGCATTCAAAGATTTAATAGTTATACATTTCCTGGGGTAGAGGGACATGCATATAGGAGAAGGGGCAGGTTGGCAGTAAGACAAATGGTTATATTCTTGTGAGACCTTAGTACATGGGAAATCTACATTTTACATAAGATAAGGTGAACAAAGTAAAAAAGAGAGTCAAGGAAGGATCAAATACGAAGCCATCTCTGAGTGGGTGGAGGAATGATCAATCTCTTCTTGTCTTTGCTCTGCCCCAGGGAATATAAGCAGGGAATCCTGGTAATTAATGTGGAATGGAACAGACTTTAGTTTTAGGAGCTAGATTTAGCCTGCAGACTTAAAGTTACAGCTGACATGTCCTTATGGGAAGCCACACAGAATTTCTTTACCTGTGATCTGTGGGGGGCAGTCCTTGGAGATGCCTTAGGCCTTTAACTTTTCTTAGGGATTTTG